GCTTGAGGCCAGGAGTTCAAGGTTATAGTGAACTATGATTGTGCCATAACACTCCAGCCTGGGTGATAGAGTGAGACCCTATCTCTAAAAAATTGAAGAAAAGAAAAAGTAAAAATGTAGATTTTCCACTGAGAGTATTGTCCCGTCTAAGCAGCATGGGGCAGCTTAAGGTAAAAAGATAATGGAGTCAAGGACTGCCAGAATGGCCGTATATACAGAGGAATATCCTAGAAAGGAGAGAATCAGAGTAGGGAGCCCTCAAATCTGCTATAAACTCTCTTCAAATTCTTAAGACCCTTGAACCACAAATGTGTGCAGTTTCCAATAAGGTTCCAATAAGTCTAGCAGAAAGCAGCAGCTGCAAGGCTGAAAAGTGAAGAAAAGATTTCAGCACCACTCACCATAGAAGAGAAAGAATTCGGAGTTTCAATCTTACCAACTTAGAGGGGGTTGGTAAACATCTGAGACTTTATACCAAAATCTTAAAGACCATGCTTTAGGCATAAAGATTATGTCCCAGGACCAAAGATTCACCCTAAGACCTAACAGCAAAACTGAAACAGATCTGCCTTAACAAAGTATAAATCTCAGCCTCCACAGGTAATTTAATTACTTGATAGAAAAAAAAAATCAGTACTTTTCAGAGAAAGATAACAAAATTCAGAATCACTATAATGTGTCATCCACAAGACCTGAATACAATTAAAAAATTACAAGACATGAGAAGAGGAAAATGTGACCCAGAGTCAAGAGAAAATCAACTCAATAGAAAAACACTTAGAGATTAACAAAATGTTGAAATTAGCAGACAATGATGTTAAAGTAGCTATTATAAATATGTTCAAGGGGTTAAAGGAAGAGATGGTAATCATGAATGAACACAAAGGGAAGACAAATGAAAACTACAAAAAAAAGGAAATTCTACAACTGAAAATGACAATATCTAAAATTAAAAATTATCTGAATGGGCAACACAGAAGATGATGATGGCAAAAGAAAGGGTCCATTAACTCAAAGACAGATCAGTATCAGTTTTCCATCTGAAGAACGGTGAAAAAAAGATTTTACAACACTCAAACAGATTTCCAGCAACTTGTGAGACAACACCAAGTTAATACACATATAATTAGAGTTCCAGAAGAAGAAGAGACAAAAAAATTTAAAGAAAAAACTTTTTTCATTTTTTTGAGACAAGAGTCTCACTCTGTTGCCCTGGCTAGAGTGCAGTGGCGTCTTCCTAGCTCACTGCAACCTCAAACTCCTGGGCTCAAGTGATCTTCCTGCCTTGGCCTCCAGGGTAGCTGTGACTATAGGCATGTATCACCACACAGGGCTAAATTTTCTATTTTTTGTAGAGGCAGGGTCTCACTCTTGCTCAGGCTGGTCTGAAACTCCTGAGCTCAAG